TGCTAGGATGAGAAGAAACTAAAAACTTTGCAAAATGAAGTTTTCAACGCAACTCCTAGAACAGGAATAAGGGTCATTTGTTTCCAGAAATGTGATCTCAAACAGAAGTTAGAAGACCCATTTTAAGGAAATACATGTGCAAAAAATGGTTGTCACCTTTGGCAGACACTTCAAAGGGACGGCATTTTATTGTTTGACATCATTATTCAGTACCAGATCAATAAATTCAACTCCGACTTAGAGAACTAACCTTTCTAGAAATCCAATTTAGTGCATGGGCATAGCTAAGATCCATCTTGTTTAGTCCTTGCTGCTTCACCTCGCAGGATTGAATAGATATCGGAGATTGCATCCAGACCAGATTTCTGACAATCATCAGCATATAAAGAGAATTTTGACATCTGCATCAATCTAAGAGCCTCATCCACATCACTCTGAGCCAAGGTTTCTGAGAACCGAAGCCTTGCTAGTGCCTGTAAGTGAAGAAAAAACAATTAGTGAATGCTGTGTCACCCAGAAATAAAAGATACCAAGCAAATCTATAATCCAGTAATAAACAGGACTTACAGCTGATATCCGGAGGATACTAAGCAAAGTCCTCACAGTAGCATATGAATGAGGGGTATTTGATCTAGCTTCTCCTTGTCGAATACTGGAGTAAGCAGTTGCAATGTACTCCTCCAGTTCCCTTGGAACATAAGGAGATAATCTTATTGCAGCAGAAATATATGCACTACAACAAAGGGTAAAAAGACCTGGTTAAAAGGAATACAACAAAAATCAAGACCACCCTTCAAATTTCCTGGCGAGTATGATCTTGGAACTCAATAAATCAATAGAACTTAAGAAACCAGTACACATAGACAACATGCCTGGCCATTTCAAGTTCACTATCCATTTAGTCAGGTCCAAAGCATTTCATCAATAAATTGCAGATAAGTAATAATAATGACATTTACCGGAGAACTGATGATTCAAGCAGAGTGAAACCAAGAGCAGGAGATTCTCGTTTCTTTTCTGGTGCACATAGACAACATGCCTGGCCATTTCAAGGTCACCATCCATATCTGCTCGATCTAGGATCAGCCACAGAAGATCAAATCTTGATAGAAGGGCTGGAGGGAGATGGATATTTTCAGCTGCAGTTCTACGTAGGTCATATCTTCCCCTACAAAACAAGTTGTGAATCAAGAATAAAATTAATAAACTAGATCATGCATATAAAGCACTAAATACACGAAACATAGGTTTCAAGTAAACCCCTTTTATGGGGGGAAGATAAGACAGCAGTAAAATGATTTACGGAAAATAATAATAACTTTGAGAAACATTAGAGGATAGAGAGTCAATTACCAGGCAGGATTTGCAGCAGCAAGAATTGCGGTTCTTGCATTAAGAGATGTGGTGATTCCAGCCTTAGCAATACTGACAATTTGCTGCCTCATAACTTCATGTATTGCTGTTCAATCAGATTCATCCATCTTGTCAAACTCATCAATAGCACATATACCCATATATCTGCCAATACCTGAAACCAAGTGGACATACTTCATTTAACCACAGGAACCTATGGAACAACTGGATCACAGAACTCATATTCAAGATAACTTCAAGGGATGAATAAAATAACTGGAGCTGGTATACTGACTCAAATTTATAATAATTAACAGAACCAATTATGCAGCATGACCAATGCAGCAGACAGATTGGTGTGTTTAGTATGTGGCACAAACTTGATGCAGTTTGAGTAGCCATATTCTTCTAAGCCAGCTCATACTCATATTAACTATAATATCAGCAGCTAAACAAATAAGTCTGCAATGAACTTTTCCAGCATTGATGAGATTGGAACTTGAACAAACAAGAATGCCCATTATTCTAATATCATGATAGTGAATCATAATTTATGATACGTTGATAATGCATGGGGGACACTAAGAACAGAACAAACATTTCTTGCAACCCATTAATATCCTAAAAAAACTTAATACAAAAAGAGTACCAACCTTTCTTGTTAGTTCTCCTCTTAAATGGACAGTCATTGATTGCGAGATATGGCCTTTTGGAACATGTTCTGCCAACTCTTGAACCTTGGCCTGCAAAAAGTCATCTAGCATCATGAGCCAGCAACAGAAAATTCTTGCTTGTGATTAAAGTTACTGTTTATGAATGAAAATCATATCAAATGGAAGAACTCCTGAAACTTCAAGAACTTTGATGCTCTGAGTTGAAGGATGAGGTTCCCTTTTGTCTTATTTACTTTACAACAGTCAGTTGGACATTCAAACAGGGGCATGAAAACTCGAGCAGTCACCTCCTGTTTAGTACATGAGACAAAAAGAAACACAACAAAACTGAATTAAGAAGGGATCAGAATACTGCTTTAAATTAACAGGCAAGCATTGTGGGGGTGTGGTGGGGGGAGACAATAACACCATTTGAAATCAAGAGCTAAATCACCTGGTAAATTTCAAAGCCACATTCTTCACAGGTGTATACAGCTGCCTGCATCAAGGGCCTGACATCTGAACGACGGGTCACAATACCAGATATCCTGACAAATTTCCCAATATATGAAGCCTTGACCTCCCTAATGGTAAATGCACGCCCCCTAGAAATTGCTTTAAAATAAACTTCACTGAATCAACAAAAAAAAAGAAAAAGAAAAAGAAAAGGGAAAAATGAGCACTAGGCAATAAAGAAAAAAAAATACTGCACAGAATATTGTAAATTTTTTACACAAAAGAAAATTCTTTAAGGACAAACGGATTGCTTGTAGAACTCTTAAAGATGTATAAAAACCAACATCCAAGAACATCAATAGCAGTTAGTTTGAGGACAGGTTCCATCAAGAAGCACCATATAGTATATCTACAAGAAATTCTTCACTTGGCACAGCAATACAGCTAACAAAGATCCTAATTCCTAAACTGAAAAATATAATAATCCACTAATGATAATAAAACCAGCTAGCATTCTGCTACAACTAAACCATTACATCCATGTGAACAAGAACACAAGAATATAAAACACAATTTTAAAATCATCACAGTTTTTTACTTCAAGTTAGACTTAATTTCAGGTCTTCCATTCC